TATTTCTTTAATTATTTTACTATCACTTATTTTGATATTTTAATTGCTTATTTTAATTTTTTTCTAACAGTTAATTTACTTATTTATTTTTAATGAAGTTTTAAAACTTATTTTAATTATTTACAAATGTTTAATTATGTATTTAAATTCTTTATATATATCTTATTTAATATTTCTTTTTTTAAAATTAATTTAGTAACACTTGATTTTAAATGCTTATTTTAATATTTTAATTATTTTTCTAACACTTAATTTACTTTTTTAATTTTAATGAATGTTTAAATACTATTTTTAATTCTTTTCTAATTTAGTTTTTTTTGCTAATTTACTTTTCAAATTTAATTGCTTATTTTTATTATTTTACAAATGTTTAAATATTTTTTTCAATTCTTTAGATATATTCATTATTTAATATTATATTATTTCTTTTAATTTTTTTACTATTACTTAATATAAAATAATTAATTAATCTAAATTAGCAACTAATAAATATTTCGATAAATAATATAACATTTACATCTTATATTTACTAATAATTTTAAATACATAATAAACATTCAAATTAACCAATTCAAATAAATAATTACATATCACACAATAAGCCATTGATAATTATTTAATTAACTTCAATAATAACCGGAAAAAAAAAAATTAAAACGGCCCAGTCAACTGGGTCAACTGGGCCAGAAAAAAAAACATTAAAAAAAACGGCCCAGTCAACTGGGTCAACTGGGCCAGACCGGCCCAGTTGACCCAGTTGACTGGGCGCCCAGTTGGGCTCTGCCCAGTCAACTGGGTTGCCCAGTTGACTGGGGGGACGCCCAGACGGCCCAGATAACTGGGCCGTCTGGGCATCGGGGGCGACTGGGTGCGCCCAGACGGCGCCCAGTCGCCCTTTTGCGGCATTTTTGATGTCCGATCGCCGGAAAACTCCATTTCCGGCGATCTCCACTCCTTCCCAAGTAATATGTTGTCAAAATTCCACATTTACACATGAATTTCTCAAAAAATATGTAGAAAATCATACTTTTTTCCAAAAATAAAAATATAAACATGGTTTTTTTTGGTATAAATTTCTTACCTTCTTCAGAGGGATTTTGGCCAAGTGGGTATCCTGTTTTTCCTTATTTGTCGGTGTCTGGGTCGACTGTGCTACAGTATTTTCCCGTCTCCTTCAGCTTTGCTTCGTTTTCAAGTGAGGGTAAAATTGGAAATCTCTTTTTTTTTTTTTTTGGTTTTCACGGTTTTTTATAATTTTGCCTTTTTTTTTTTTTTTTCGTTGGTCAAAGGCTAGTTTGAAAAATTGGCCGGGTCAACCGGCCAACAGCCACTAATTCCTCTGGGCTTATCGGGTCATTTCCTATAATTTCCTCCAACAAACCCTACTCACTCATCGATTCAATCTCTTTCATCTTATACGCAGACAGCAGTAGCAGAATCTCTGTTTTTTAATTTGATAAGAAGAATTTCCTAAAGAAAATGGCGATGAACAATGGATTGAGATCGTGTGCTTCCAAGTTCCTCAGTTCCACTGAATCATTTCTCCCCAAATCAGGTCTCTTTTTTATTTCCAAATTTTCGTTATTATTTCTGTTAATCGAAAATTGTTCTTGTTCACACGTTTCGTTGAAATTTTTACGCACATTTATTTAGTCAATTTTCTATTTCGCTTTGTTAATTTGTATTTCCACATATAAATGTTTTTCCTTTTCCATCTGAAAGATAATGTTTGTTGAGTTTTTTGGGTGCATATTATGAGCTTATTTTGAAAGGAATTTGAATTCAAGCTTGATGTTTATTTTCTATCTGGGGGTCATAGTTACTTATTGTACATTATCTGTGCCTATATAAACTCGAATTAGTGCATATAATATTTATATAGCCGTGTGAAATTGATTTAGGCGAGTGCATATATGATGCATGTTGTTTCCGGGTTTTTAGCTCATATGTTTTTGATAAACCTTTAACCTTTAACCCTGTGTCACTGTTTGAAGCAAGTTCACAACCACCGTAACACAGAAATGGGATAATTCCTGCTGAGTTAGCTGAATATGGAACCAATCAAAATAGAATAACAGAATTGGGGAGGGTAAAATGATAAAATAAGAAGAAATTGAGGAAGGAACTGAATGGAATCACTCCAACTGATAACTGAATTTGCAGAAAAAATGACCCATTCTTCACCCCTTGCACATGGCTTTCTATGTATTCATCCATGGTTGAAGTCGTGTTTCACAAAAGAAAACAAAGATAACATTTCTAACTATTACACTTATTGGGAGCAAAACGACACTGTTTCAACTGAGGTAAGACTACACCGTTTTGAATTTACAAGGTAGCTAAAGCAGTTGGTTCTCCTTCTTCTTCACCTGGTCTGATCTTCTCCCTTTTCTTTGCTGTTCTTTTCCCCAGCTGTCCCTTACATAACACCCTGCTGATCTCCATTAGAAAGATTAGAGCTTTTACAACAATTTGGGCTCTCTCTTGTTATTGTCTCTTCTAGGAATTGTCCTGACAAGTATGATTTGTTTTTGTATTTTATCTTTTCATTTCATTTCTATATCTTATGATAATTTTTTGTACAATATAATTGCTTCAAGCATCTAAGTTTTATTGTGTTGAATAATGCTATTAATTTGAGCACACTACCTAAATGGTCGTTACTGTTTGTTCTTGATAATTAATCGCAGTTAATGTTTTTCCTATATTCAAAGTCAAACTTGTTAAAATCATGCTCCATCTGCTTATTTGATTAATCGTTGTGTTTTTTGGTAAGGATACGGAAAATTTGTATTGATAGTAACCGCCGGTATCTACACTTTTCCTACAGAGGCTGCTGAAGCATGCTTGATACTGAACCTTAATTTTAGCTTCTTTTTTTTTTTTTTTTTTTTTTTGGTAGTACATTTAACCGCATTGTGAAGGCCGATAACTAAACAAAATTCTATACAATATGATGAAAGCACACGAGTAAAATAATAGATAGAATGAATATGCTATTCTTTTGATAAATCCCTTGAGAGTAAAGAATGTTTAGAGGAATTTTCTACTATTAATTCGGTATATTGATGGCATTTTTGGTTGAGTATTTTAGGTAGTAGTAGACAGTATTAGGGAATAAAAATGAGTAATATTCTTGTCCATTGTACCTTTTATCATATCCTGTAGCATGTACCAGACATACGATGAATGAATAAGCAAGAATCTGAAATTGTACTCACCCCATCAGTGTTCTTATATTTTTGTTTGTTTTACTTACGGATAGGGCGAAATTTGTTTTTCTTTAACAGTGAATACAGGGTTCCATTCAACGGGTGTAAAGAAAATGGGAGGGGGCCATGGCCATGACGAACCTTTTTACCTTCACGCAAAGCACATGTACAACCTGGACAGGATGAAACATCAGCAACTGAAGATGACTCTCGGCGTCCTTTCTGCATTCACCATTGGTGTTGCAGTTCCAGTTTACGCCGTCATCTTTCAGCAAAAGAAGACTGCTTCAGCGTGACTTTTTATCATTAAATTATCTTTTCGTGCAATAACAGAGGTTAAGCTGAAATGCTTTGTGTTGACAAAAATCTGGAATCTATTGTTTCAGAGAGTTGATTAATTTTAAAGTCACCACTTTGCTATGTCATGCTGTTTAGTTGCTCAGTTTCATGTTGAAAATAGTGGCTTGAAAATAATTGATCAATAAGGTATTTATTTATTTTTAAATTTTCCTTCAATAATACTGCTTATTTTATACATTCATCATTATAGATATGATCTCAATATCAAATCCAGAGTCAAGTTCGATATTGAGGCTAAATTGTCTCGTGGTCAATCGTGGTGCGTTGGATCGATGAGCCCCTTGTGGTTTGACGTTTGATATCTTGTAGTGATGACTTGAATTTCCGCTTTGCAAGTGAGTTCTTAGCTCTTGTTCGACAGCTATTAAAATGAATTTTTTTTAGGAAAATAAGTTTTTGAATGGTGATTTTTTTGGAGAATGTGTGGTAAAAAGGTAGGATTTTTGTTTTTTTGATTTATATGCTGGATATTTTATTGCGAGAATGTATGAATGAAAATGAGTTTAAGAAATGAAAAAAGTTTAAATGGTTGTGCCAAAATATTATCGTTTTATTAAAATAAAATAATAATTACTTTTAAGTAACTTCATTGTTAATTGATGAACAATCAAATTATGGGTTTATGGATTGTGTGATTGAAAATAATGGGGGGGAAAAATAATTTTTGAAAATATTTGTTCCAAACAAACTCTGAACTAAGAGTAAATTTTGTTCCCCTCAATCCCATACAAAAAGAAGCTATTAGAAGTTAAAACCCCAAAAAAGAAAATTAAAAAAGACTCTCACTAAACAAAAGTCAACAGTTTCAGCAACTATACCTTCTTATCCATTAAGCACACCAAAATTGAAAGAAAGCATTCATTCCAAAAGACTGAAAAAATTTGTAAAATGTCCAATTTGACACCGCATTTTTGAAAAATGGTCAAAGTCGAAAGTTTTATATCAAAATTTGCCCATATATTTTCGACATTTACTGTTCCCTAAATTCAAAAAATGCATGAAAAAATTGACATTCAAGCCATCAAAATAATCAATTTCTTTATGCTTTAGATAAGCTATCCATTTTTAATCAATTTTGATTCCACATAAATTTGTATTTTACCATTTCACTTAGTATCTATTTTACCATAGTATCTATTACAAATGGGTTAAAGTCATGTTGCACTAACTTCCCTAACAAGCTATTGCCTAAGGCTTGAGATTTGTACGCCAACTTTTTGTCCTATGCATCTTAATTTTTATTTAAGTTAAAATCGATAATTAATCTTAATAATATATTTCACAATATTATAACTTCTCAATTACACATTTCATAAAATTTTATCAAAATCTATTAAAATTTGATTTTTAGCTACATCAAATAGGGGCTAAAAAATCTCGACCACACAAAAATTGGCCATTTTTACAAAAATAATTTTTCCTTAACTGCACATAAAAAATTGCAACTTTTCAAAGTATTCTTGAATTGACCACATTTCAAGTTCGCCATTCAAATTTGACAACTAATCAAGATCGTCCAATTAATAATTAGAGATAACTTGAATCTTAAAGTGTAAAGAACAACAAAAACCAAACTTTCATTATTAGAAGTGGATCAAACATCATTATTTTCCACCATTGTTCGACATATACAGTTTTATATCTACCATTTCAACGTAATCAAATTTCTTATGTTAAAGATAAGATTTAAGGATACTCATGATTTTTTGCTGTATCATCGTGTTAACATTCTTTCCTTTGATAGCTTATCTTTATAAAACATAAAATGTTTTATTCCCTTTTAACAATTCCAACTCAATTAAGTTAATTAGTTAATAATTTGCTATAAAGACCTTTTTAAAGCTCGTGTTTCAATTATACTTTGTAACTCTTAAAATTTTATAATCATGTTTGAACACTACACATGAACAAGTGCAAAAATGTTCTTATTCCGTCCACTATGATGGGAGAATAATTTCCGAAAAAGTGAGAAACAAAAAATGAACATCGAAAAGATGAATGAAAGTAGAAATCTTATCACCAAGAAAGCAATAAACTAGGAAAAAAATCCAGCTAAGAAAACTTAGAATTCTTCATTCAACAAGAAAATTATAGGGAAGTTTCTAATATGGAATTATCAAGATTTTTTGGGATTTTCATCGTCACTGACATTATCTTGTTGCTGGTTTTGCTGTAAATCCATGCCCAAATCAATCCTACAGTTACCATTACTATATGAATTGATAGAGGCCAGTAATCCCATGTTTGTAGTATCAGAGACACCGAGTCCCAGCTGCTGAACCGGCGGCGATGGCTGTTGGACCACCATTGATCCGGGGTTAAACCGGTCTCCACCACTGGTAAACTCGAAGCCACCAATTCTCTGAGTGGGGGAGGTTTTGTATTGCCAGAAGGGGTGTTCTTGCTGCCCTGCACCCACAGGGGCCATGGCAGTTCCACCAGTCATGGGCAGCATCCAGAAGGCGTTCCCGATGTTGGCGTTCGCTGGTGCCACCGCCCACATGGCGGGAGCCGGGACGAAGCTGGAGGGCTGAGATGAACCGGGTTTTTTATCTGAACCCGGTTCGTGATCTTGCATGATGGTTCTCCTAGGTTTAGTATCTGAATGTGAGGTTGCAACATCTAGGTCTTGCCCAAAACCACCATTGTTTGAGGTGAGCTGGGGGTGGAACCCTAGCATGCCGGTAGCGCCACCGATGAAGAGAGGCATGGACTTGGATAGTGAAGCTGAAATGGTGGTGCCCCGGCTGCGTACAGAAAGATTGAGGGTCGAAAAATTGGCCGGAATTGTACCTGTGCCAGTTGCAGCTATAATTGATGGTTCAGCTTGGTGCAAAAGCCATTCTATAGTCTCACCATCAGACTTGTGGCCTAATTCTTTGGTCAGCTGGAAAACCCTGGCTGCACATAAGGCCGGCATACGGATGCGCCGCCCTCGGCCGTCCACCTTGGTATGTCGATCCTTGGATGGTTTCTTGGTGATGGAATCATTCTTACTGCCGTTATTATCATTATTATTGCTGGTGTTTATAGGGGTTGTGGACGAGGAGGAAGTGGTGGTAGTGGAGTCTGTGAAGTGGCGGTGGACGGAGGCGTGGCCGGAATCTTTTGGCCAAAAAAAGGGGGGGCGAGGGGGGGGGGGGGGAAGAGAGAGAGAATGTGTATTATTGATGGAAAGACTTTGCAGTCAACTAAGTGCCATTGTGAATTGTGGGTTATTCTTTCCGTATAAAGCTACTTGAGTTGAACCGAAATATTTACGGATGCTGAGGTGTCCTCATTTTCATCTATTGTGGTATTATTCTTCTTCCTATAAAGCTACTTGTACTGAAATGTTTACGGATGCTAAGCTGTCCTCATTTTCATCCGTGGTGATAATAAAATGAGGACAGCTTAGCATCTATAAATATTTCCGTAAAAATTTTCTGTACATATAGTAGTTCTCTTCTTTCCCTCTATTCCCTTTAGGGTTGGCAATGGTCCCATCAAGCTTGGTTTGGCTCGTTCGATAACCCAAGCTCAGCACATGGGCCCTGTCAACATAAGGCCGAACCAAGTTCCAGTAGCTCCTAACTTTTAGTATTCTATAACATACAGATTTCTAGTTTTTCAAAAAGTTGCGTTCACTAGCCATCAAGATCATTGCATTGTAAGATAAAAAATATAAAGGTCCTCAGGGCACATCTCCAAGTGGTAAAAGGGGAGGGTGGAGAAATTCAGCTTTGCTTGAGGCTGCTGCGTTAAGAGTTCGAATCCTGAAATATGGATTTGGCTTTTGGGTAAGTACAAGTGTACAAGCAGCCTTCCACCTTATACCCTTAGAGGCATAACCTGCGATTTACCTCTCTCACGATACTCTAGAACAGAGACAATGGGGAGCCCTTAAGGTTGGGGTTCAACCTTTAAAAATATAAGGTAGAACCTAACGCAAACATTCAATAATCGATTGAACTATGAACAACTGAAAATTGACAGCTGACTTTGAGAGCTGAAAAAGTGGTTGGGAAAGCCTCCAAAAGGTTCCACCAATAGAGAATCTGTGTGAGATCTTTTGTTAGCTGGAAGGGTTGGGGTCCAAATCCAACTGGGTGCGTGGTAGGTTGCATCAAAAAGATCAGTAAATATAGCAGAAGAAGCTCAGGGCCCACTGGTGGGGTCTCTATTTTGAGTACAATACCATGCAGTTTAGCTGGCTTCAAGAATTGCCAGCATTCACAGAACATCCCCGACCCTCAAGCACACACAAAAATTATATATCTTTTGGGGAAATTCTAAATTTAATCCACCTGGTTGGATAATTGACAATTTGTCCTCTTTATCTTTTGAAGTAATGGGATGAGGTATCTGTCAAATAATTGTGTTATAGATCACTTTTATTTATCAATTTAAAATTAGTTATCTGTCTCAAAGTAATTCACTGTGTCGAAGACCAAAATGTGTGAATAAAATTAGGACCGTACTTCACGTATATAATCATTTATACAATCATTTACACCCCACTCACATCATCAAGCTGGGGACCACGGCTCGACATTATTAAATACACGCGGAGCCCGCATGTTTGTAAGAGGGGTGGGGACACGCTTCAGTAACCCCTCCTTAGGTACATATGATTTTTTTCCATAAAATTAATGTTAATTTTGACTTCAATTTATAATTAAAAAATAATCATCAGATAGCATGAATGATAAATAGAATGTTAAAAAATAGATTGTCTAGTTGACTCTAAAAAGAGATTCATCGTTGTTGACCTCACTTGCATCCACTATTTCAAAGACTAGAAAACTCCGCCTCTCTCTTTCCTTTATCACCCCATGTTGCCACATTCTATCGATGGATGTAGTAGTGAACTATAAACTGAATGGTGGAAAATGATTTGTGTAGTCGACTCTCTCTCAAAATACTTTGTCCCTCTGACTAGGATCCTTGTGTCAAAAACAAGAAAAACCCATCTCTCTCGATCTTTCCTTTTTTCACGCCGAGTTGCCACATTTAATCAATGGACATAGCATTAAACCATAAATAGAATGGCAAAAGTTATTAGTATAATCAAACTCTAAATGGGAAATTGTTCGAGTAGCCGACTCAAAAACAATAAAGAGGAAATTGAATCCTCCCCTCACGTACACAAACTCCACCCAACAACACTGCCCCTTTAAGAGGGCAACACAGTACAGAAGTCAGAGGAGGGACCAAAAGAGAGAGTTATATCTTAAGTGGGAAATTGAGAGCCACAGAAAGAGAGAACTGAGGGCATTCTTAATGAGCAGAGTGTGGACGTAAGAGGACAAATAGCCACAGACTGAATAAATACGAGCATTTTTAATGCAGGAACTCAGTCAGGACAGTGCATAGAGATCTAGCATCTTACGAAACAAGAAAACCAGCTCATCCCAACACAACCCCCACCTAACATTGCATTCCAATTTTTCCCATAAATATCTAAAAACACTCGCATAAATATTGAGCACTAATCTTGTTGCATAAGGAGCGACTTGTACGAACTGTGTATCGACTACCCTGCTATCTTTGACGTGTACTAGTAAATTCCGTATGGAGTGTTGAAGTGTTTTGATCCTTTTATTCTAGGAAGAACAGTTTCTCATCGTAATGCAATAGGACGAGTCTCGACTCTCGATAGAGAGGTTAAACCAATACTAATGAATCGAATGAAGTGTCAATAAGGATTCGTCTACCAGACTCTAAATTTATTAAAAATAATGTTTAGAATGTTGATGTGTTCATTTGTACACGAAGTGCACCACACACCACTCGCCACGTCTTTCTTTCTTGAAAATTTCCATAGTGCTAAACAAGAGAGTGAAATCCAATAATTCTTGGATCCGATCAAACTACACCTTTTGTAGAAAGTAAGTAGGAAAGAACCATTACGATGGTTTAGAAGAAAAGGTGGTGTCGAATTATTTCATTAGTTTTACCAAACTATAAGCAACCAATATCGTTTCTTGATCTAAGTTTTGAAGAAGTCATCTTTGTTGGCACACTCAGCAAGGCAAGTGACAAATTTCGTCACATGCTTCTCTTCGTACTCATTTCCAAACTCACATTCTATTTTGTTTCAACCAAACGAAATAGAACCAAGAAAGGACATAAAATGACGTACAGAGAAACTGTTTGCAGTGCTTGTAATACTTGTACCGATGAACTAATTTTATCAATTTAAGTTTGACCCGTTACAAAAAAAATAGACACGATTAATGTTTTAGACCGATCAATTACATGAAGTCCATTTATGTAAAATAAGAGTCGAC